ACTATAATTCGTGTTGAAAAAGACAAGGTCTTAGTTAACTGCAAATCCCAGATGTGTACCTAAAAAAGGAGAGTTCCCAAAAAACCCTTTCAATGTTGCCTTGTACTGGTCAGAGAATGTCTGGAACACTGGTTCAAACCAGAGCTTCTCCTCTAGGAAGCCTTCTGAGTGTTGAGGTATATTCCAATAGTAGCTGTCTGTCTCTATACTTACCAGGTATTTATTGTAACTGCCTGTGCCCTTCCTACCTTCCAAATTCTGTGAGGGCAGGGACTGCACCTTTCCTATCCCCCAGTATACATTCCAGGCCGAATGAGCAAAAGCCATGACGATCCAGAACAATATTTAATGTGTAGCTGTGTTTCAGTTTGCCTTTACTTATTTCCCTTTTCCGATTGGTTTGTTTCACCAAACTGACATTGATAGATGTCTCTATTTTGTCTTACTTTATTTGATAGAATTAGATTTCCTTTTTTATCCTAATTGGCCTGAAACATAAAGTTTATTCATAGCTGAAGTGATGAGTATATTATGCCTGAATTATTTCCCTGGTTGTTTTCATGAAGGAAAGGTGAACCCTACCCAGTGTGAGGCTCTTACCATGGTTGCCGCCCAAGTCATGGGAAATCATGTTGCTGTTACCATTGGAGGCAGCAATGGACATTTTGAGTTGAATGTTTTCAAGCCAATGATGGTAAGCTTAAAATTAGATTTTAATGTTTTTGTCTTAGACGGCCAGTGGTCTTGGTTTTTATCTTTCATAAAGGTTTCCAGAAATTCCTCATTTGATGCTTGGATGATATAAGTAGCACTGGGAAATGGGTAATTAACCATATGTTATATTAGATTCAGCCTGGATATTTTAATAGGTTAACTTTTTGCTCAAGTAAATTGCTTTTTTTTAATAGGAAGAAACTTTCTGGAAATAGTTACATTCTTTATACCACCAACTCTTCCAAACAAAACAAATAACCCACTGCCCTCTAGGCCATTACACTCATGTTGCCCCTACAGGACATGCAGCAGAGTTCTGGGACTGTCACTCTTCATGGAAGTAGAAAGTATCATCTTTTACCACTCAGGGTTCTAAAAACACTGTTGTCAAATTGATTCCAAATCCTAGCAACCCCAAAGGGCAAGTAGAACTGCCAATTGATTATAGGCTCCTAGGCCCATAATCTGGACAGAAGCAGACTGCCACGTCTTTCTCTTATTGATGGGTTCAAACTGCCAATTTGTAGTTAGCAGCTGAGCACTTAACCACAGGCAAGTGGCTAGGCATGTTTATTTCTTTCGCTTAAGCCACCTTGAACTCTACATCTCACACTGTCTATTCTTCCTTCAAATTCTGCCTTTTTGAAAGAATAATCCGTATTCACTTCTATTCATGCTGTTTCACTATGTTCTGACTTCAGCCACCACCACTTATGCATGAATTTTCTCACAGTCATTACCTCCTAAATTTAATACATTTTCCACAATTCTTTTTTTTTTTTTAACATTTTATTGGGGGCTTGTACAACTCTTATCAAATCTACACATCCATCCATTGTGTCAAGCACATTTGTACATTTGTTGCCATCATCATTCTCAGAACATGTGCTTTTTCCTTGAGCCCTTGGTATCAGCTCCTCAATTTTTTCCCTTCCCTCCCTGCTCCCCCTCCCTCATGAGCCCTTGATAATTTATAAATTATTATTATTTGGTCATATCTTGCACTGTCCGGCATCTCCCTTTACCTACTTTTCTGTTGTCCATCCCTCAGGGAGGAGGTTATTTGTAGATCCTTGTCATAGGTTCCCCCTTTCCACCCTGCTCTCCCTCTACCTCCCGTTATCTCCACTCTCCCCATTGGTCCTTGAGGGATCATCTATCCTGGATTCCCTGTGATTCCACTTCCTATCTGTACCAGTGTACAGCCTCTGGTCTGCCCAGATTTGTAAGGTAGAATTGGGATCATGATAGTCGGGGAGTGGAGGAAGCATTTAGGAATTAGAGGAAAGTTGTATGGTATGTTTTACCATTGCTACTCTGCACCCTGACTGGCTCGTCTCCCATGACCCTTCTGTAAGGGGTTGTCCAGTTGTCTACAGATGGGTCTTGGGTCCCCAATCTGCACTCCCCCTCATTCCCAATGATTTGATTTTTTGTTCTTTGATGCCTGATAACTGATCCCTTCGACACCTCATGATCACACAGGCTGGTGTGCTTCTTCCATATGGCTTTGTTGCTTCTGAGTTAGTTGGCTATTTGTTTTGATAGCTGGGTACTATCAGCTTTCTTCACCACATTTGCTTATTCACCCATTTGCCTTCAGCGATCGTGTAGGGAAGTTGAGCATCATGGAATGCCAGTTTAATAAACAAAGTATTCTTGCATTGAGGGAGTACTTGAGTAGAGGCCTGATGTCCATCTGCTACCTTAATACTAAACTTATATACACATCGATCTATTTCCCCATTCTATATATAAATATATATATGTACATGCCTTTATTTAGACCTCTATATATACCCTTTGTCTCCAAGCTCTTTCATCTATTTCCTTTTACTTTCCTCTTGTCCCACTGTCATGCTCAGCCTTCATTTGGGTTTCAGTAATTCCTCTTGGTTACATTTCCCTTGATCATGCCTTACCAGGCCTCCTACACCTTCCTCACCACCGATTTGGATCACTTGTTCCCTTGCCCCTGGGTTAACACCACTTCCTTTCCCTCCACCTCCCCCTCTCCCCATGTCCCCCCAGAGCCGTCGGTCCTGTTGTTTTCTCCTCCAGATTGTTCATCCAGCCTATTTTATTTAGACACACCTGCGGATATAATAACATGCACAAAAACAAGACAGTGCAAAACAAAGCAAGAATAGAGAAGAAAACAACAAAAAGCCAATGACAAAACAACAACCACAACAAGGAAAGCTTGTAGTTAGTTCAAGGACTGTTTGTTGGCCTTTAGGAATGTTTTCCGGTAGAGTCTGATGGGTGCCTAGCCCTGGCCCCAAGTCTATTTTTGTTATTCCTTGGGGACTTCGTTGCTCTATTCCCCTTGCTGTTCTGTTGCATGCCCTTAGTGTTTTGCCTCTGTGTGGTTGGGTCAGATTGGATGGAATTCCCACACTGTGTCTCCAGTGTTGTCCCCTGTAGGGCTATGGGGTCAGTGAGGAATGTCGTGACTCATCGTGGGACTGGCCATATGGTCCATTGGCTCCTCTGAGCGGGAATATCGTCCTCACATTTCCCACAATTCTCTTACACCAGGTGCTGACTGTTCTCTTTTTAAACACTTTGTCTTTATGGAGATGAAACAAGGTGGCATCATCGTTCATGCAGTTTCTCCTCCTAGCAGTAGTGGCATCATTGCCATCATTTGAAGTTCTCTATTTGCATACAGCATTACAGATAAAATGTATTTGAGATTGTATCCAGTTGGTATGCTTGATGCTCCCTCTCGTGAAGGTATGGGTGCTGTAGCAAAGAGTGATGGAGAGACTAGTTGGTGCCTGGCTTCAGAAAGAATAGACTCTGGAGTCTTAAAGTCTTACCTTTAAACAAGCAACCATCTAAGTGAGGCACTTCCGCAGAGAAGAAGCACTAGCCTGTGTGATCCAAGGACTATAAATAATAAAATCTAAATCTGTAAATAAATAAAATGTAAATCCATAGAGACAAGAAATGGTATCGGAGCTTAAATTGGGAGCAACCGGTACGTAGAAGGCTATGGATGACAATGGAAGCCCGAAATCCATTTGCGTCTGGTGAATTCCCACTGGCCATAGTCAAGGGATGTGACTAGCCTTGCTATCAGACAGGAAGCATTGTAAAGTCAATCAGGGCAGACTCAATTAGGTTAAAATATAATATCATTTGATATCCCTTTTGACCCATTTAAAAGTTTAGGTTTTTTATATTTTCTGCATTCTTTTCTACTGATGTTTACTTTGTTATTGTTCCTTGTTTCTTTGTTTATTTTCTTGGGGGGGGGCGGAGTTGTATGATTTTCTGTATATGACCCAAAAAAGTTTTTAAAAAACACTGCCTTTACATCACAGGGTAGAAGTGCCCTTGTGAGTTTCTGAGGCTGTAATTTTACTAGAGTAGAAAGCCCCACCTTTCCCTCAGAACAGCTAGTGGTTTCAAGTTGCTAACCGCAGGGCGAGCAGCCCAACAGGTAACCACTATGCTACCAGGGCTCCTCCTATCAAATCATGGCTGTGTAAATCTATAGAGACAGTAACTGGATCAATGCTTTCTTAGTGGTATGGCGAGGGGTGTTTGTGGGAAATGAGATACTAACAAATGAATACAAGACAGAAGAAAATATTCTAAAATTGATTGTGGTGATGATTATACAACTCTTCTTAATACCATTGAACTATTAGATTGTATAATACATGAATTATATGCCAGTAAAAGTGTCAAAATAAGTAAAGCTAAATAAAACCATATATACCTGTTCTTTTCTTTCTTTTTTTTTTATACATACCTGTTCTAAATGAGTTGCAAATGTGTAAGGACACAGTTAGGATGGATCTCATTTATAATCGAGGGCTGCTTATATTTATTTAGGGACCATACATAATGTTTGCTAACATATATGACACTGTGAATAGAACATGTTATTGTCAAAACTATGAAACTTAGTAGGATTTTATTTCTTTTATAGATTAAAAATGTGTTACATTCAGCAAGGCTGCTCGGTGATGCTTCAGTTTCTTTCACAGAAAACTGTGTGGTAGGAATCCAGGCCAACACCGAAAGAATCAACAAGCTAATGAATGAGTCTTTAATGTTGGTAACAGCACTTAATCCTCATATAGGTAAGGTTTGGAGTAATATTATTATTGTTTTGAATAAAACATTTTAAAAGCTGAAAATTTTAAAATAGATTCCATAACACAATAGTCCTTTGGACAGCAAATGCCTCTTGGATGTTTAAGTAAAATCACTTAAAATTGTTTTTAAAGGTATATGTATTTATAATTTATATCATAGTTTAGTTCTAAAAAACTTATTTATACATTTTTTTAAAAGTCGTGGTGAATTCTTTATTGACACTCTCAGTTGGTAATATCACCAGGAAGCATTGGCTTATTAACAACTTGGAATGATTTTGTTTTCCTGCCTTCTGGGCTCTGCTCTCCTATACTTTGTTAACGTTGCTTTATTTAATTATGTGGCTTATGGGAAAAATAAGGAGAAGCACAAATATTTTCTAGAAACAAGCCTTTTCCAAAATGCTGTTTTATTATTTACAGTCGAGGAGTAGTTGAGTTGGGCTGCTCACTGTAAAGCCGGGAGTCCCAAACCACCACCGCTCCTGGGGAAAAGATGAAGCTTTTGACTCCAGGAAAGAGTTAGTCTCCGAAACCCCAGACACTTTGCCAGCCCTCTAGGGTTGTGATGAGTCAGCAGCAACTCAGTGGCAGTGAGTCCGGTTGTTGTTGTTTTTAAGTTAGAATCAAACCTATACGTTGGGATTGAAACTGACTAAATAGACTATTTGACTTTTCCTTACTGCCAACTGAGATTGTTGAAACATTCTTGGTTTTCTGTCTTAAAGCAAGTTTAAAATGTACTCATTTTTCATGATATAGTATTCCTGTCAACATTCTTTTAGAGTTCTGAATTTCCAAGACAGATTTTATATTTTTTTACTTCAGCTCAAGGTATTATTTCAGTTTTACAGAGTTAGAGCTGACTTGGCTTGCTTTGGATAGCTCTGAACGCAATATGATATCTGATCTTCAATGTAGTAATGAGATTGGTTATGATATTTTGATATATTTAAAATTACTTGTACATCAGCTCTAAGTAGAGGAAAAGGAGGTAAGCTTTAAGGCATCATAACATAATTCAATGACTGTCTTAAAGCCTAAGAAAGTCAAATAGTATATTTAATGGGAATCACTATAGTCAGTTTTCAATCCAAATATATAGAGAGCTGTGTAAAATATTTCATCAAATCTGCATTTTCCAAAACATTTGAATTAGCAGTAATTCCTAACGCCTGGGATTAATTTAATGTGATGTGAATAGACATATCAGAAACCCTCCAAAGATAAAATGGGGGAAACAACACCTTGTTGACTAAACATGAGTATCACCACCTTTCAAGCTGTGAAATATCTAATGTCCTTGTTGCTGATTGTTAATATTGCTTTTAGAATTTGAACTGATGTCCTCAGAAGAGCTGAATGTGATTAGCATTAATACTTTACAATATTGACCCTTAAATTTAATACAACAATTCTTTATAAAAGTTGTTCTGTCAAAAGTAAATGCCCTTTCAACATACTTACATTCACAAATTCAGTTAAGCAATACAATTAGATATATCCACAATTTGTTTTACAGATAGTTATTAACTACTTACTGAAGCATAACGTCTTGCTTGGTTGATTACAATTACACTGTGAACCTCTGATCTTTTATACAAATACACATCACACTAAAAATTTCTTACTTATAATCGTTTAATACCTGGGAAGAAGCTAGTATAGGAAGATAGTCAGGCTGGAGCTGACTGAAGAATATACGCAGCAGCTTCTCGGCACATCACTCCGCAGGACCTGACTGCTCTTCCTGTATTGCAAGATGATTCTTCATATTTCAGAGCCATTCAGTACCATGCATGCAATATAGCATCCAACTTGCTCATACTTCATTGGAGAGTTAATTGCTTTATTGCTAAATATGTTGTGTGACACAACACATATTTGTGCTACCCAGATGTACATTTTTAAGGAGCAACTGTGGCACAGTGATTAAAGTGTTCAGCTGCTAACTGAAAGGTTGGTGTTTCAAACTCACCAGCTGCTCCCCAGGCAAATAGTATAGCAGTCAACTACCATAAGGGAGAAAGATATACAGTCTTGGATACCCTAGGGAGCAGTTTACTCTATCCTACAATGAGTCAAAATTGACTAAATAGCTGTAAATTTGGTTCATAGTTTGGGTGCTACATTGTTTTTCTCTACCCCTTCCTCCCATGAAAATGTATGAGTTAATAGGCTATTTCAATTTAAGAAAAATATGCTGTAGAAAATGGGATTGGTTTATGTCTGATTTGTTTAGAAAAGTAAAGACTTTATTATATGTGAGAAGTGACTTTTATCAAGATAATCACTGTTAGCTAGTTTTAAGTTTTTAAAAAAATCACCTGAGAACTGCATTAAGTCAAATATCAAGTCAATAGTAATGATTTTCTTTTAGTTAGAAAGCCAGATTGTACTACAAACCCCATCTCGTTTTGTTTTGTTGCTTCAGGTTATGACAAGGCTGCAAAGATTGCTAAGACAGCACACAAAAATGGATCAACCTTAAAGGAAACTGCCATTGAACTTGGCTATCTCACTGCAGAGCAGTTTGATGAGTGGGTGAAGCCTACAGATATGCTGGGTCCAAAGTAATTTAAATGTATTTCAAATAAAAGCAATCTTGTTTGAAATAAAAAATAAGAAAAATTCTGCATTTTTCTTGTACAAAAATGGATAAACTTTTACAGAAATCCCTAATGAACTTGACTCTTCATAGCCGAGCATTTTGATCAGTATATAAAACCAATACATACTCAGTCTTACAGTGGCTTTTAAAAATCTAAAATAAATATTTATTTAAAAATTTAAAGGAATTTTTCTTTTATATTAATTTATATGCATTCTAAGGAGTTTTTCCTTTTCTAGTTAGGGTGTTATAAAAACTCCCTTATACTTGGAAGAGATATGTCAGTCAGCGTGCAGTATAGCACCAATAAAACACACAACTTTCCTCTAGTTCCTTAATGCTTCCTTCCCCGCACTATCATGACCTCATTTCTCCCTTACAAATCAGATTAGACCAGAACACACACACTGCTACTGATAAGAGCCCACAAACAGGGAATCCAGGTTAGATAAACCCCTCAGGGTCAATAATGAGAATAGAGATACTAGGAGGATAAGGAAAGGTAGGGGGAGATGGGAAATCATCAGAAGGATCAACATATAACCCCCTTCCAGGGGGTTGAACAACAGAGCAGGTGAAGGGCAACAGATGTAAGATATGAAAATCTTACATGGACGATGTAAGATATGAAAATAATAATCTATAACTTATCAAGAGTTCATGAGGGAGGGCAGGCAGGACAGGGAGTGGGGAAAATGAGTTGATACCAAAGACCCAAGCAGAACAAAAATGCTTTGAAAATGATGATGGCAGCATATGTACAAATGTGCTTGACACAATGGATTACTGGGTGGATTGTGATAAGAGATATAAGAACCCCTAATAAAAGTAATTTTTAAAAAATGCCCTCATACCTAAAAAAAGCACTTGCTATCTCATTACTAAATCTTGTTTATAATTAGTCATATTTTGGCCTTCTGATTTAGACTGTGTGTGAGAGAGAAATAGGTGAAAATTATGACACATATAACCTGTTTTTAACATAGTTTTCAGATACGATGCTTGTACCCTAAGCTTTAAACAAAAGCATATTTTCCCACAAGACTTTTGTTCAAAATATTTATTGGAAGAAGCCATAGAATTAAATAAATTGGATTGCTTAACAATGCCTGGACCCCAGCTATCAAACTGGCCTATTGTTTGGTCAACCTATAAATTGGTCAAACTGGCAACTGTTCTGGAGTTGTGGAACAACCTTCTATTGGGATGAATGTTTTACCTAAGCAGGCAGCTTCAATCTAAATGGGCTGTCATTTGAGGGCTGAACTAGAGACATAATACAGATAACAGGATATCAAGTTCCTTCCCTCAAATAATCTTTGCACAGCTGTCTGATGTGCCCTACCCTATCCATAGGTAGGATCTATTGTAGGATTTCTTAGAGGGGAGGCGACGAAGGTGATGTAAGTCAGGTAAAACTTGTGGGAGTGGAGCCTTCAGGACCTTCCTATGTTGATGGGACACAACTCAAGGTAAAGAGGACCAGCTGCAAAAAGCTAATAATTGGAACTTGGAATGTGCAAAGTATGGATTTAAGAAAATTTAAAGTGGTCAAAAACATGAAACGGAACACATGAAGATCAATATATCAGGCATACAATCAAGAGGAATGGTGTAGCATTCACTGTCAGAAAGCATCTTGATAAATCCATCATGAAGTACAATGCTTTTTATGATCAGTGTATATCCACCTTCAAGGAAAGCCAATTAATACAACTGTTATTCAAATTTATGCACCAACCACAAAAACTAGTGAAGGAGTTGAAGAATTCTACCAATTCCTTCAGTCAAAAATTGATCAAACGTC